TGCTGAACGAAGGAAGGCCAAGACTGGTTCAGATATCACTTGCTGCCAGTGTTATATCTGCGGCTGTGAATTGAACTCAGGTCAGTACGTGTGAAGAGCTCTGTGCCACCCCACCCCAAATATAATTTGACCGTATAAAAATTTAGTTATTTATATATATAAGTATAAACCCCGCAGAGCAGACTGTAAAATACAGAAGTCAATGTTTTGCCCGGTTGGGCATCATTAGGATCCATATTGATCGGGTGCTAGAAAAACAGAGAACACATATATATAAAATATAGATGAGACACTTCACAAGATAGCAATATATAATCTCTCAATGTAAACATGCACTGGCCGGAGCCAACCCGCGTACCCGCCAGCGAAACGAAACCCTAAGCACTCGCGGGGGTGTTCGTTTCAAGAGAGGTCACAAAACGTGGGGGTCACGACCTCACGTTTTGTCTGAAATCCATACCGGCCACGGGCGCAATCGCTTTCAAATATGCTCAAGGAGGCTGACAAAAGACAGGGTGGAAATAGCTACAGAGACAAAGTGTGTGGTAAGCTCACAGCGGCGTGACAATTTTTTTCTCTCTGCATTTGGTTTCCATTAAATGCGTGGGGAGTTTTTTTTTGTTATATATAAATCTTGTCTGCACGCAGTCGAAGCTCGCGGAATTAAATGCCGCTTGCACAGGTGGCAGCTCGCTGATGTGTGGGATATTTTTTTTTAAATTAACACCTTTTGTTCAGCGTCTCATATTGCAAAAAAAAATGTTTACTTGATGTTCTCGTATTTTTTTTACTTTTTCCAAAACGATCTGCTGGAGCGGAAGCGCGAAGGAACGCGAGGTGTTTGTGTTTTTTTCATTTCATACATTTATAACACAAAATGTAAAGTTACAAAAATTACGCGGATTTAATTTTTTTTCATGAATTTTAAATCGTACACGTTAACAGAGAGCTAAAACGATCGCAACAATGCCGTCCGTGTACACCCTTCGAGGCGGTTGATATCCGTTTTAGCCGAGATATTTTCTTATCCCTAGACGCTGCAATAAACGCTCTCTACGGGAAGCGAGCCGAGCGCAGAGTGGGGCCCACGCCTATAATTTTCAGAATGTGTCGCTTTAGGGACATCACAGCCCAGTTAGTGTTGTAGCTGCGGGGCGGAGTGGCTCCAATCACTCCGCCTCAGCAACAAATGAAACAAAACCTTTGCTGCCAGGGTCCTCTATACTCTACCCAATCCTCAAGTTCTTACATCGACCATTCTATCGGCTGAAATCATCGACCATCTCTTGTATCGCCACTCAATAAAAGGGGCGCAGTCACCATGAGCGTCCTGCGTCTCTGGAACACCCACAGCATGTTTTTGATGCGGCTCTGAGACGTCCACGAACATTAGCACACCCGGTGAAACAAAAAGAGAATAACCGCATATTAAATTGAGGTTGTCAGCGCTGTACTACATATATTGTGGCAACGGTAATTAATGATAGCATTAGCAAATGACGGGTCACTGCGCCTCTTCAACCAATAACCACGGGGAACCATTCGCTAGTCCGTGCCCCGTACACGAGACCCCTCGCGCGGCTTTGCCGATGGGGTGTCCAAGATCTCCGATCTCCACCCTCAGCACCCTCCCTCCAGCTGCCGAGTGCCGGAGGTGGTAACCCGTCAGCCGTGTTCACTTGGCCCCGAGCTCCGTGCACAACGCTTCGCGTCCTCCGGGGCTCGGTCATCTGAAAAGGCGCGACCGACCGATCGCCCGTTAAGTTTACCCCCCCCCCCCCACCAAGTTATGAGCGCGCATTTATTTATACACGCGGCTTTACTGTTGCCATTAAATGGGAGCGAGTGACTGCTCGTGCCCCTGGGTGGCTCTCCGTATCGATGGTTTGGTGCTTGAGTGCGGCGGCGGTTGCTGCGTCTCCGGGGGAGGCTGGTGTGTGCCGCTGTAAACACCGAAGGACGTGGAAGCGGGAAGCGGCGACGTCGAGATGTTGGTGACATCGATGGCTTCAGCCGTGGTGGCCTCTTGCCCCTCCGTCAGATGTCGTTTCATTTATTTTCCCCACCAAATTATATTCCAATTGGGCTATGAGCATCACGTCACGAGATGAAGACATCTCTGTGCGGAATTGCGCAGCCAGTAGTGCACCACCCTGTGTCAGAAAATGGACCCTGGAACATGGTGTCGCAGAACTATTCCTGGAGTAACTTATATATACCTCTTTATTCATTGCTAAGGGTAAAACATTTTATGCCCTAATTAACGTGTTTGCAACATGTCAATAAACAGTCTCAGAAGCAGAATACTGGAAGCCAAATTAAGATAAAAACAAATTAATATGATAGGTTTTCGTGCAATCATTGGAGGCTGGGCTTGGCCAATCAGGAAACTGACCTGGGGAACCGAGATTAATCGTGGACGGATGAAATCTGGATTCGAACCCAGAATCTCTTCACTCTCAGCACTTAGACCTCTAAACCACCCAGCCACCTCGAAATTATAATTCTTAAGTAAGTACAGTTCTACAATGTGTTTTATTTCAAGCGTGTACGAGATATCAAACTATTCTCATAACTAATTCACGTTCCATAGGAATGGTGTCACGATCTTCCTTGATGTACGACGGCTTGAGTGTCTGGAATGTTTTTAGTAAACGGGACTCGGACCTGATCCAACATCTTTCTCAATCCCTCTACAGCCTTTGAGCCTCTCTCTAAACGAGAATAAAGAAAAAATTGCAGCTGCTGCACAGGGGAGGGATGTGCGTGCAGAGGGCCCCACACAGAGCTTGGTGGCCTGGAGCCAGTTGCTGGTTCTCAAAGTCTCGGGGAACATGGGTCCATTGTGTTAAACGTGGTCCTGCCGAAGCAGCTGTCACCCAACTCGTAAACTCAAGTGCGACCCCACCGACCCACGCGTTATTTAAAGCGTTCCCCTTCTCCGGCTGCACCAAGAGATGCTGCCGATCGCCTGCCGAGGCTGCACCATAGCTGGCGGGTCCAACAGGACCCAGAGATAGCCTCTCAGCTGAAAGACGAAACCGTGACTACCCAACAAATATAACCCACTCTCTCCACCACCACCAAAAAGAAATTACGGGACTGCGTTGAAAGTGCTGCACATGAAGGATCAGGGTTGTGGTTAGGGCTTGTGTTGAAGTTAAAATTGAAGCAGGTTAGGATAAGTGATGAGTTTAAGCCAAGCGAAAATGTTGTAAAGTGTCCAATTCCAAAGGCGGTTTTGGAGGGAGTCTGAACCCGATGCTAGCCAAGGTTTTCTTAAATAAGTGAAACACTCGCAACTCGATTTTATTTCCATTTCCCAGCTTTCTCAGGGTGTAACGTGTGATCTCAAAGTCGTAAAGGCAGCCCTCTTCTGCTCGGTAGGGGCAATTGCCTGAAACGTCAGCCCACTACGTAATTTTATTCTGTCCTAGGACAGCGTTACTGGTAAATATAGTGTGGGGGGGGGGGTTATCCAAAATGTTCCCTGAGAAAGCCGTTAATACTCCCTCGGAGCTAGGTTTTGCATATGGACAATTCCAAAAGTGACACCGATCAACCTCCATTGTTGTAATGTTTAGGGGCCAAGACATTTATTTTTTCCTAATATTTTCATAAGAGTAAACTCAGTTATATGTTATATATTTTAACACCCCATTTTAGATTTTAGGTTTCCAAGTAATCATTCACCCGTGTGTAATTATCGTCCGTACAGAGAAGATGTAATTTAAAATCTGTTATTTTTGTTATATTGTTTCGGTTTGCAGCGTTGTCCCACCACCTCCTCATTCCTCCTCCTCGCTTTTTTCTGTCAAAATTAAAGCGACTCGCTCAGACACCGCTGCTCCGACTCCCCGTTCTCTATGCCCCCCCCCCCCAACTTCTTCCACCCCACCTCCCGACCTCATTCATTCACAGAGGGCTCCCCATTCGCTTCGGCAATTCTCCCCCCACCACCACCACCACCCCCATACACGCCACAACCACACATCCACCCATCCCCCAACCGCTCCGCACCCTGCCACCCACCTACTCACCCATCCACCCACCCTAAGCCACCCCACCCACCACGTCTGTATGTCTTTTTTATAATATATTTTCCCAAGTCGAAGCGACCATTCTCAACATCCCACCTCACTCATGCCCCCCCCCCCCCCCCCGTAAGCCTTAGCGCTACCGATAGGTCAATAATTGAGCTTTAAGGCAGGAGAAGGGGGGCGGGCGGGGTTGGGGGACTGTGGGGGAGAGAGGTGCAGCGTGGAGAGAGGGCCCCTGGATGTTGGAAGAGTGGGTGGTGAGGGAGGGGAGTGTGTGCGTGTTTCTGTCCGCGTGTGTGTTTCGTGTGTGGGTGGGTGTTTGTAGGGGGTTGGGTGGCTGTGTGTGTGTGTACGTGCTCGCTGACAGCACTTACCTCTACGAGCAGCACTAAGACAAAAAAAACCCGGGGCTCTTTGTCTCTGTGTCTTTGTCTTCGTGTTTTGTGTGTGTCTGTGGGGTGCAGTCGCGCGACGGTTCTCGCGCTGCGCGAACAAACAAGGATATTCGAGTTCGATTCCCGCTCACGGCCAACACCAAGTGACAATTATCTGAACCGGTCCTGGGCCTCCCCTAGGTCGACTCAGCCTCAAATGAGTATCTGGTGCGGTGTGTAAACGTCGCCGCTGGGGAGACAAAGACGGCCGGGCATAGTTGCTGGCCACATCGACCCCTCGTATGCCGTCCCGGCCTACATTAGGTGCTCGCAAACAGCACTCTGCCCCTAAAGTCTGCTCAAGGCTATACGGGCGACCTTTGTATTTGTCCGATACGTTCATGGATGCGTCTGAGTACAGACGTGTGTCTTGTATGTGCGTGTCCCCATGCGTGGTCCGTGCATGTGCGTGCGCGTGCGTTTGCTGTGCTTGCTGTGCGCCAAAGTGTCAGTGCGTGCGCGCGTGCGTGCGCGCGCCGCGCGTGTCAGTGCGCGCGCCGCGTGTGTTGCACGGGGAGGGGACTGTGCGTCTGAACACACAATGTCATTGGCTCCCACAGCCATTGACGTCTCCTCGTGGAGTGGGCCCTTTCAGGCGCCGGGATTTGGGGGGAGGCGAGTAGCCGGCGAAAGCGCGCACGGGAGAGGAGGGAATAGGAGTTAGACGCTGGTTCAGAGGCTGCCTTCCCCCCCCCTCTCTCCCTCTTTCTCCTCTTGTCATTCATTTCCAGGGGAAGCCGCGGTCGTCTCTTCCGCTGCCGCTGCTGCTCTTCCCACTTGTCTGGAACTCTTGACGGCGTGCGAGCGGCAGGCGCGGCTTCGGAATAATTATTATTTTTTGTCCCACCGAGAGGTGCTGCACGCCCACTGCCGACTGCTGCTGCTGCTGCGCTGTAAACCCGGCGGCAACCCGGGATGATGGAACTCGACAGCGAGACGCGCGACGGCATCGGCCGCGGGAGCCGCCGACGTCTCGGCGAGGTGGCGGCGCTTGCGCCTGAGGTTCTGTGACTTCAGTTCGCGGGGTTCGCGGATTATCGTTCACGGTCGACGCGCGCACTGTCTCCCGTCGGTGGAGTTAGACCCGTGGGCGAGAAGATGACCCAGCGTTTGTGATCATTTAAAAAAAAAATCGTTTCTTTGCGCTCTCCCGTGGCTGGGGGGGTGGAGGTGGAGGCTGGTGGTCCTTCGCTGTGGTGGTTGCCCAGAGTTCCAACGTGTGGGTTGCTGCTCGGTGCTGGTTAGTAGCGGTGGTTAAGGAGTGCTGCTGCTGCTGCTGCTGGCGGTGGTGGCCTTGGTGGTGATACTCGCGGTCGCCCGGATTCGTCCACGGTGGCTTTGCCCGCCGGTGGCACCTCAAGTGGCGGCTGTAGGTGGCGGTGCCTGGCGGTGGCTGGCTGGGGCTTCGTTGAAACACGACTGGCTCGGAAGGAAGCGATAGCGGCGCTCTGCCTCCGCGTCTACTTTGGACTGGCCCGGGAACGCGGCTCGCCCGGCCCGCTGTGTGAGCCGTCTTCAAGGAGCTGTTTGGCCTCCTTAATCTTCGGCGGCTCCCCGCCGAGACGCCTTCGCATCGCCTGCCGCTGACCCTGCTGTTAAGGTGAGAAGTCCGACTCACTCGTGCAGGAACACTCGTAACCTAGTGAGCGACTGATGGCAATTGGAGCTGTTAAACGAAATGCTCCCGTGGAAGAAGGGCTTGGAGAGATGAAATCCGGCGTGCGTACCTGCGCTGTCGGCAGGGGGCAGCAGAGTAAAATGCATCGTTGTACCGTACTTCGCTCAGTCGCTGTATGCTCCCCGGGACTTCACGAAAACACGCAATGGGTCAGCGTGGTGAACTGTGGACAGATAACCTTCCGCGGCCTTGGGGAGGCCCTCATCCAGCAGTGGATTGACAAAGAGCCAGTACATGTGCGTAGTCGAATTAATCCGTGCTTGTGTGTCGAGAGATACTGTAGGGGGTAAAGGCGCGGGCCCTGCAATTGCTCGCTCACGCCACTGCTGGCGGAAGGTCCACGGTAGAAGGGGTTTAGAGCCCCCTCTAGAGTATGGAGAGTAATAACGTTTTTTGTTGTTGTAGAAAAACAGCCAACAAAATATATATTTGTTTTTGGAAAATGATTTGCGTCGGTTGGTTTAACTCGCAGGGCAAGGCTCCGCTTAAAGTTTCACAAAGTCTCGGCGCTGATCTCTCGCGCACCAACCGTGCGCCATCGTCAGTTAACCGAGTAATTCGCCTCCCGCGGAGTGTGACGCTAAAGCCGACAGGGAGCGAAACAAAAGCCCCGCTATCGGTTACCGGTAATCGTCGAGAACGGATGGCTTACAGGCCACAGCACTTACACTCGCACGGGTGGATTACGGTGCGCGTGTTTGTTTTGATACGTTCGTGTATTAAACGCTCACTCCGAGACACGGTTGCGAGACGCAGTTGTCTCGGCGGTGCCTCCTGTCCACCTTGATTCATCAGCATCGTTCGTTACACGCTGCACGCGCCCGGTGATTGGTAAACAGCGACGCGTGACCGCCACCAGCGCTGATTTCAAATTAAGATGGACTGTCTGTGTGGGCAGCTGCGGCGGGGGGAGGGGGCATTGCGGTTAGACCACAATGCACTGACTCTACCATGAATCCAGGCTAAAGATGTCGATGATTTCTGACCACGGCTAGCATCGGTGGCGCGTGACATCCGAACTGATGTAGGTCCACATTCACCAACCCACGCTGACCGGCGTGGCGAAGTATGTTCGAACAAACACGGCGTGGACGAGGCCTCCATCCAGCAGTGGATTTCACGCAGGGCTTGTACATGCCCCGTCCGTGCAGACCAAATCACCCGATCTCGTGCGATCTCAGACGCTGCGCGGGTGTTTTTTTTTAGCCTGGGGTGAACATCTCACGATGTTCGGACCGCCGTTCTTAAAGCGGGTGCTGTAGGTACAGCGGTCCCCAACGTTTTTGGCACCAGGGACCGGTTTCATGGAAGACATTTTTTTCACGGACCGGGGGAGGGGGTGGTTCATCATTGGGTCTTTCCCCCTTTTCAAAGAAGCTCTCCAGCGACGTTTGTTTTTTACTCATTTTGGCTACTAGGGGTTAGAGCTTGTGGGTTTACCAACACTGTGACTGAGACAAGTGCGCAGTGCGGGAAAGAGGCGCGCACGGAAGTGGTGAATAATAAAATAATGGGGGCGGGCCACGTGCGGACTCACCGCTCTCACCTCCTGCTGCTGCTGTGCGGCCCAGCTCCTAACAGGCCACGGACCGGTCCCGGTCCGCGGCCTGGGGGTTGGGGACCCCTGGTAGGCTGCTGCGGCTCGACGTTGCCAGATGGGGGCAGTGCAGACAAATCGGTTGTACCAGTACCACGTGCCAACGTACTGCGATCCTCGTCTTCAGCGCCCACTGAAGTCAGGTCGAACAGTCCCCTCCTGAACGACCACGCCATGCCGAGGCTCCCGACCAGCATTCAAGTGACGGATCGCCGTGTCACAACGTCGTTGTTGTGTGGTGTCTGCAACGCGCGGTTTACCAATCGGGCGCGTTTTGCGTGCACGTTTTGGGAATCCCTGGAGAGGAGGTGCGGGGTGGGGGTGTAAGGGGGTCGCTTACAGAGAAGAAGAAGGGGAAAAAAGCGACTCCAAAACACATTCGCCCCCGGCGCGATAGCTGCAGGTGTGCTTTTGTAATGCGACTCTGGGGCAAGTGGCATCGCCATCATCACCACCACCATCACACCACCACTCCGGGCTATCAATACGACGGCCTTCTCTGTTCGCACCACGAGAGACAGAGAGAGAGAGAGACCGAGGCCACTCCTTGTTGTGGTGATTATTCCCTTTGTGTGATGGTGATTCCCAGCGATTATTGTTGCAAGCTGCTGCTGTATTTTGTTTCACAAGTTTTCTTGTTTCAAGGGACGTATGTTCACATGGGACTCACCTGCTTGGGAATGATACGCCCAGGGTAACCACGAAGTTATCGCTAATGGAGGAGGCGGTGATGATGGGGGTTGTTATTTTTAATGCCGTGCCACCAGCATCGCTGACGTGCGCACGCACTGGGCGCTCCGTCCGTGTGCGCGCGTGCGCGAGTGTCTGTCGCGCTGAGCTACGGATGGAGCCCGGTCGACCGAAGTTATTCAATTCCAGGCCACGGCTAAAATCGGTGGCGGTTATCCGAACCGATCCTGAGCTGCCGCCGAGTTTCCCGGCGCGACGTGTAAACACTGGCAGTGGGAGGGACGGTAGACAGAGGTGACCGGGCGTAGCTCTGCCTATACCACCCGCTCGTGCACCGTGCTGGCCTTGACAAGATGCTCACGAACAGCACTTGGGTCTAGCAGCAGGCAGTGTGCCTCTATAGCAGGGGGGGGGGGGGGGGCATTGTTTGCGTGCGTCCTTGAGTGCGCATGTGTGTGCTTCGGTGCCTGGTTAGGTGGTTGGCGGGGTGTACACGTGTGTGTGCGTGGGGCCTGCACGTGTGTCGTTGTGCATGTGGGTGGGCACGTGCTTGTGTGCGTGGGTGTGTAACTGTGTTGTGCTGTGTGTGTGTACACACACACACACGTGTGTACTTCTGTTCGTGAGGTCTATGCTTTGCTTGGGGGTGGCACACGTGCGTACACACACACACGTGTGCCCGTGTGTGCCCGTGTGTGTGTGTGGGCGCGCACGTGGGGAGCGGTTAGTGTGGTGCACCACCCGAGTTTGATTCCCGTTTACGGCCAACACCAGGGACGATCTTCTGAACTGGCCCTGGACCTCCTCCCCTAGGTCGACTCAGCCTCAAATGAGTACCCGGTGCGTTGTGTAAACATCGCCACTGGGGAGACAAAGGCGGTCGGGCGTGGTGCTGGCCACCCACCCCCTCGTGTGCCGTGCCGGCCTTCATAGGAGCTCGCTAACAGCACTTTTTCCAAGTCTGTTCAGGCTATACTGGGGATCATTGTCTTTGTGCGTACGTGTGTGTTGCGTGTACGTATGTGTGCCTGTGTGTGACTGCGTTTACTCGTATGGACATGTGTGTGTGAACACGTGTGCGTCTGCCTGTGTGTCCCCGTGTGTCCATCGCTCCCCCGACACACCACGTGGGCGACGCCGCAGCCGACCCGAGCCACGTTGTCCAATGCTTCGTCCCCATGCGGCGCTGAGGCTCCCAGGCTCCCGTTCCTCCGGGACCCCTGGGTCCACCGCCGCTCCGACCCCATGGAGAGGGGTCCGGGCTCCTCGCCGGCCTCGCTAGGGGAGGACGGAGACACCGCGACGAACGCAGCGACGACCAAGACCCAGATCCATCACGCCCAGGTTCAGCGAGTTCGAGCAGAGTGCGCATCGTCGGCGGAATCCGTCGCCGCTGGCGTCACGCGCGGAGCAGACAGGCGAGTGCGGGAGCGCTGCAACCGTGCCAGAGCCCTTGCCCACGGCCATGCCCTTGCGCGTGGGGCTCTCGCGCGCGCAGGGCAGGGAGGAGCGGCTGAGACACGCCCCGTGCGCGCGCGCTCCAGGGAGTTCTCCATTAAAGAGACCAACTTCGCCGACGGGGGATTGAAGCTAAAGATCCAGAGCACGGCAAAGATCCAGGGGCAGCGGCAGCAGCAGGGGCAGCGGCAGCCACAGGGGCAGCTGTCGGGCCAGCAGGCGAGGCGCCGTGGCATTACCATCACCATCAAGCCCACGAACCCTCCACGGGCGAGCACGGGGAAGACATCATCGTTATCTTCGTCGTCGTCGCCGTCATCAGCGCCATCGTCATCGACCAGCGCCTCCTGCTGCGCCTCGTCTGGCTCCGTCAGCTGCTCCGGCTCGTCCAGCAGAGCGGTAAAGAGCTGCGCACACGGGGCTTCTGTCGTGAGTTTCACTCTTGGAATTCACGCACACGTGTGCGGCGCTGTGCATGTTATTGTGTTACAGGGTGGGTGGCAGGCCGTCCTGATGGACGGGGCAAACCTTTGTAAATTACATTGCTTAAAACGGTATTGAATGAGCTACCTGAATGCTTCATTAAGCTTGGTGCTCCGCCACCCCGTCACGTTTGATCGTGTCAAGTTAACCCTTAGCAGGATCGCTGCGTTGCATCTGGAGGTACTGATCGTGTTACCCGGACGTGTGTTGTCCCAACTGTAAATGCTTAAACAAAAACAAAACACGGAATGGGAAGCGAGTTTAGAAGTTTCTAAAACATCCCGTGAGATTAATGCCGTGAACATTTGTTTTGAGTGGGAAGTCGGTAGTCCTTATGTAGTGATAGACTGCTTTCAGACAGAGGAATGTGGAAATTCTCACCTCTAGCTCAGAGCATTCCACCATCACTGACTAAGGGCTGTCAGTGGGAGTCGGTTGTGGGCATTTCATATTAACCACTTGCTCTCGTCTATAGGGCACTGAGAAAAGTCATCACCCCTCTCAGGGTTCATGAGGTTAGATGGATTATTTTTGTGGTCATGAGATGGTGCCTGGTTTTTGTTGGCACGAAGCTGTTAGCAGTAGTGCTGAGCGTCAAAAGTAGAAAAAAAAGTTACCCTCCCGTGTAGATCTCTCGCAGTCGCACCGCTGTACAGCTCTCCGATTTGCTTTCGGGTTGTACCGCTTGTACATGATGTCCGACGTTTTGCACCGCGTGCTGAAGGATTTCTTAGGTACTGAATAGAGAGCCCATTAATTGATGTTATAAAGGAGCTCCGAGCACGTGCAGGGAAACATCGCTCCCAAAGACACAACCCGAAACCACATTGCAGGGCTGAAGTGACACTTCTAACATTTTGACATGTGGCTGAGGTGGCAGCAGTGGTAGTGGTGGGCGGTTTAAGCTGAAATAATTCCCCCAGCCAAACCCGAGGGATGATGTTCACCAACAGTGTAGCGTGGTTGGCATGAGCCTGGTGTGCATGGTGCGTGGATTGAATTGAGGCCCCCAGTCCAATATGCTTCCCTCCGCTCATCATAGCCCAGTGCCTGTGCCCCTTCAGCCCTTGGCGTAGTGTTTTTGGTATGGGCCCTGGTGCATGGATTGAAATGGGGCCCCCTGTCCAATATCCCACATCCCCCTACCTCATCATAGACTGGCGCCTGGGCCTCTCAGCCCGTGGGGCTCTTTGCATTTGCAACGCACGCACGCTGCATAGCCATGCCGCTGATGTTGACACTGACGCATCGTGGCTGTTGTGCAGAGAGCGAAGTCGGGAACGCTGACGATCGCGGCCCAGCCGCCGTGTTTATTATTGTTGGAAAATCAGAAACTGGGGTCCTTTCAAACGCTGTGAACCCCCACGGTAGGGGGTGGGGGGAACGCGCGTGAACCGTGCGCTGTTTACATTTCTTCCGTTAACGATACATGCGGTTACCGTCACCGTTCAGTGCGGTCTACGTTTTGAACATTCCAGAAATTATAACCCTGATTGGGGGGGGGGTGGGGTCGGAGCGGTGGTGGAGTAGTTTCACGCAGTGCGCTGCAAACCTAGGGTGACCTGCGTTTTATTCCTGGCCGTGGCTCACATCAGTGGTGGGCGATATCTATAGCGAGCTCTACAGGCCCGCTTTTGACCAAATGGTACTAACTTACCATCGTGGTGAAGTAAGGTCAAATCTTCACGATTTGACACGGTGTAAGGAGACCTTCGAAAAATGGAAGGCAATTTAAACAAAATGACAATTGTTGTTGTTCATGAATGCCACAAAGGAAATATTGTGCTGTGTTATCCAACTGGGCGGGTCAATGGCCTCTAATAATAAGGTTGAGAATGCAATTCGTGGTTGGGATTGACTCATCCCTCCAGGGTCGATAAAAACGAGTACCAACTTTGCGGTTACAATTTAACAGTGGTTGTCCTATGGAAATACTCAACTCTGCCATAAGAATGTCATTGTTTTTTTTCATCACTGCCTTAGGGAAGTGAAAAAGGAGACGAGTGACATGCCAGACTCAATTGACTGGGGAAACTACTTAGATATTTTCGTAATATATTATCGTTTTTTTAAACGAACTCACAACAAATCAATTATAAGAAAAAATAACCGTACACGTTTTTTTCCCCCTGATGCGGTTATGGTGATAGTATCAGTTTCATGAGGGCTTTTATTAAGATTTCCAAGTCCCACATATGGCCTGGCTTAAGGTTGCAATTAAATGGCTGAGCAGGATATTTGAAGGGAGGGATTATGCAGGATTACGGCAAATGATGTGAAATACATAATATATTGATATGAATGCGCTTTTGACTGCCGATGAGAGGCAATCCACAGAATCTGCTGGTTATTATGGGTGTGCGGCTGGTGTTTTTACTCCAAGTTTTACCTAATCATTGTAGACGCGCAGTACAAAAAATTACGCGTCTTGTTGGGAAAGCCCAGCCTCAACAAATGAGACCCATAACCTCGTTAATGCCCTCAAAGAGTGGTGACGGATTTATTTTTCACCGGTGCTCACTGCCAGAGTTGAAACTAGATCTAACGGAGCCGAGCGGTCTTGGGACCAGACTCGTGTTGACAGAAGACGTGTAACAAATCACCCCCAGGCGAAGAAAAAAATCGCATCCCACTAACGAACACGGTAAAACGTGAACGTCATTAATTGTTTGATATTCGGTCAAAATAGGCTCATATTCGCACTCAAGTGAATGATTCGCAAGTGAAGGTCAGCCCACACGTGATGGGGTTTCTTACAATCGCAGGCAGTTATAAACCGGTTGGGGTCCCTCCCGTAAACGCAGCGAGTGAATCGTAGCACCCTTTGCCAACAGTGGCCACTACGGAGAAATCTTTCCTTTTCGGAGAACGGCTAAAGTTCGTCGACCTAAAAACGAAGACATTTCCATTCAAATTGCCTCCTCTCGCTTTCTGTTCATGGGAAACCCGGTCATTGCTCGAATGCGTCTGGCTGCTGGTGATGTTACGTCTGCAGGCGATGGTGGCTTCTTAAGAAAAAAACAGGGGGGGGAATGTGGGGGGGAGGGTGGAACAAACCTTCTTGTGTGAAAGCGTGTTGTTCACATTATCTGACCAGCTGCAGTTGCACTCACGAGACGGCGCGGAGCGGCAGGGTGGCTGTCTCGTGGCGCAGAGCCGTCTAGGAATGGCAAGTCTCGCTCTCTCATAGCGCGCACCCTCGCAATCCGGTTTTCAGCGCTTACTTAACGCAGGAGCCGGTGGTGCCCCCCCCCCCTGACCCCACACTTTCGAAAATAACGCAATCGCCTCAGGAGAGGGGGGGGGGCTCTCCAGGTGACGATGTAATGTTGGCTTAACCAATGTCCGGTGCTGCCCAGTGTTTAACCTTGTGTGTGTGTGTGTTTTACACTATTTGCGGTAGTGACAACAAATCGAGCCCGTGTTTGTATAGCCCTGCGTCGCACTTAGCGCTTCTTAGTCGGGGCCCCCGGCGAGAGGGCGCCGAGGCGAGGGCCGTGCGTCCTGGCCGGCCGTGCAAGAGGTTCAAAGTGGTGGCCGCCACATGGGGCGTCCCCCTCGCTCTTCTCGCCGCGACCCCCCCCCCCCCCCAAGATGCCGTTAGTCCGCCCGGGTGTGCACGGTGGACGGGGGCGCCGCGCGCGGGTTGGGCCCCTTGCGCGCGCGCGGCAGCGGTGGGCCCTGCGTTATCGTCTTCACCGTTGCTCTGTGTTTCACGCTCGCCGTGGCGCTGTCGCCTGTGCTTCTTTTCAGGAGCTAACGTTCAGGCTAATAGACTGAACGTTCAGGCTAATAGACACGACGGTGGTAGTGGTGGGGGGGGTTGGACTTCCCTGTCACATTAACGGCGCTATGAACCCAGCAGTCTGCGTTTGATTCCCGACCACGGCTATAGCGTCAGTGGCACAAATGACTTCTGAACCGGCCATTGTGGTTACCCGCGTTTTCACCAACCTGCACTTGATCAATTCGATGGAATCCGTTCACATCCCCGACCCATGACCGACAGGACACGGGGAGGCCTTCACTTAGGCGGCGGAGTGAAAACACACTCCAAATTATTACGCGAGACGGAGAGATATACAGAGGAAGAAGGAGGGATGTGTGAATATATCTAAGACACATATACTTATACGTAAAACTAAAAGTATGAAAATAATTACGCTATTTATTTATTTATTGAGCTAACCGGCAGTGGCGCTGCATGATGAAGCTGTTTGGAAGAGAGTGAGTCACAGGCAGCAACAGCACAGCCTTTGATATGGTAATGATCCCACTGAGCCGAGGGCGCCTCTGGCAGTGGCTGTGTGATGTTTCTATTGTGCTTGTTTGCCCCAGAGTTGCTTGTGTGATGGGGGGGGCAAAGGAATGAATAAATAAAGAAATAAACGTGCTGCCCTCCTTGTTTCTCTCTCTCTCTCTGGATCTCTCTCGGCTCTACGTGATGCTGAGATACGAGGCCACGAATGGGAACAAGGAGCCAGGTCCACAGGAGACCAATTAGATGCGAGATATTTAACTATTTTACTGCAGCCCTCGGCTCTAAGCTTGGGAAATAGGGCTCTGTGTGTGCGAGCGCTGATGTGTAAATTTCCCCTGGGTGCGTAAATGAACGTGGGCAACTAGCACACTTGCTGTATTTTTATTTATTTTACCGTTGCTGTTGTTGTTTCACAATAATAGTCCTAATTAGAATTAGCGGTAATGACGATATGAAAAAGCAGAAATAATTTGACCACCGATTATAATAATATCGGGGGGCGGTTGTGCACGTACCAATTTTAGTCGGCGTATATTCCCTGATCTGACACGGAGAAACGTGGACGCTCACAAAATAAAAACAACGGAAACAAAAAAGCTGAAAATGTGCGTAACGGATGAAGCAAGGAAAGATGGGCTTGGGCAGGACACCAGTGGTTGAGACGAATGATGTAGCGGCAGCCAAA